GCATTCAGTCCAGGCTTGGTGTTGCTCACAACCAAGGCTCTGGTCATTTTTACGCGACTCCGGTGACAGTGTAGACATTTTCCAGCAACCTTTGCAACTCTGATCTCCCTCTCTCTTTCGGTAATCATTCTGAGAACTTAGAATTGCATTACTTAGGTCTCTTATCAATTTTGCAATAACTCAAATTTATTTTCAATTACCTTTAGTTTTTTCTTTCTATTTTTTCGGTTGAATCCAAAATTGAAGTGTTTAGGAGATTGAGTGGTAATTTGTAATTTTGCTTAGCTTGCATTATTTTGCTTCTTTTGATTTCTTTTAGTAACTAGTCTTTTGGCTACTGAGAAAATGAAAGATTATTTTTTATTGTGCTATTTTTTGCTTGTTTTTGGCAATGAATGTCTATTTTGTAGTCTGATTGGTGAGATTTTAATGGTTAGAATTTCAATTTTTATTATAAAGGAAAAATGATATATGATATTATTGTTTTTGTAACCACATTGAATTTTTTTGTTGTTTTTCTGTGTAGAAAAGTGCTTTAAATTTATGTTATTAAGATTAGATAGTGTTTTAGCCATGATTTGGCAAAGGCATTCTTTTAGTAGTCATAATATTGTTAAAGTGACTAAACAGTTATAAATAAGAACTTCATCCTGATATACTTCTTTTTCTAATCTCAAATAGTTAAATTTTTCTCTAATGGATATAAGTTGGATTAACAAACCACCATTGTCTAAAGAATATAGTGATGCTGTTAAGAGCTTCATTAATTTTGCAAGGCAAAATTCTTCTAATAGCAACTTTATTATGTGTCCCTGTGTAGATTGTACAAACTGTCACTTGTTAACATGTGATGAAGTTGAACATTTAATCTCTAGAGGGTTTTTGCAAAGGTACATTATCTTCTTTTGATCAATTTTTTGTGCAAAATGAATCCTCCCCCCCCAAAAGGCTTCTGAATTGCATGTTGATTCAGAAAGAGCATGATGAGATGGAAGCCTTAGTACAAGATGCTCTTGGAGTTCATGACTTCAATTATTAGCATACCTCAATTTGAAACACTCTATATATACTCTTCTAGAGTTCTCTATTATGCCAAACAAAGATATGGGAATTTTCACAATGCTCTCGACACTACTCTGCCTCCCGTTTTTCTTCCTCTGTCTTAAAACTGCCTTTTCATCCTCTTTACATGCTTCTTCCTTCTCAACAACACATCTCTGCTCTCATGAGGAGGCTGCTGCTTTGTTGCAATTCAAGACTTCCTTTTCCATCAATTACACTGTTTTTCCTGGTTTATGTGATACTAAAGCTAATTATTCTAAGACTGAGTCTTGGAAGGAAGGTGTAGACTGCTGCTCCTGGGATGGGGTTAGCTGTGATAATGTCACAGGTCATGTAATCACCCTTGATCTCAGCTGCAGTCACCTTTCTGGCACTTTTCCTTCGAACAGCACTCTTTTTCTCCTCAAAAACCTAGAGAGCCTCAATCTTGCCTTCA